TGAGAATAAGCTCATTTTTGTTGCTTCATGTTTTCAGTTTTTTTTTTCACCTAAAACTGTGAAAATGAGCTATTTTTAAGTGTTTACTAAACACTTTTTTGAGCTCAGTTTTTTTTAATACCCACTTTTTATAAAAGCACCTCAATATCAAACCAGTACTTATACTAGCTGTTCCCATTTCGGCCCAAACCCAACTCACTTTCTCTAGCCATACTCGACCTTAAACTCACACATACCATTTCTCTCATCTCCAACTACATAATCGAATTGATCGAACGGTAATTAATAGAATAGTGAACAAAAATGTATCCTCCATAATTTATTGACGAGTGTCCTTATGTAATTGGTGTAGTTAAGTCTCTTGTATAAATAGTGATTCATTGTCGCTATTTCCTAAATTCCGATTCCTCTGTTATCAAAGAGAATATTATGCAGACTTTCCTTTCCTTGCTTTCGTCTTCTTTTCTCATCTAATTTCTGTCATCAATTCTATATTTCTTCACTTAATAAAATGCAGTTAATAAAAATAGCAATTTATGGATGAATCTCCAAACTTTGTAGGGAATAAATATTTACGTGCCAGAAGAAAATGTTTCCAAAGTATGTACAGATTACAATGACCTCAAGCTGAGTTTAATTTGGTCTCAGTTGGGAACCCAAGAATTTAGATACATAACTTTCCTCATAGACTCCTCTGCCGGCTTTGCTTTCTCTTCTCGCATGATTGTGTTTGAAACCCTAGCAGCAGAAGAAGGAGAAGAATACAGCTCCTTGGCCTGAGAAAACGACCTGGTGAGATGGTTCTTGGCATGCTGGTGCATCAGTCTTATGGGGTCGTTCCACCTGCACACCCCTTGGTCTTTCAGTACTTCCACAACACCAACTGTTGCCCCCACGATCCAAGCGCTACCTGCTGCACTCATCATCTAAATTTTCCTTTTTGCCTTGGGACAATCTTTTGATTTGTATTGAACAAAGTATGGGAATTGAGAAAGGTTGAGTTGAAATATTTGGCAGGGAGGATGTATTAAGATTGAGTAGTTTGATTTGGATACACGAATGGATGGAAGCAAAGCCAAAAATATTGGGGAAAAACCAGAGGTTGCAGAAGTTGCTGCTTGTTTTCCAAGGAAATCCACTGGTTTTTGTATAATTTTTTAGTACTTTTCTGCTGGTTTACACAGGCGCACTTTGTTTTGTCAATAAAATAGTGCTTTTAAGCGCAGACTAATATGGAATGGAACTTTAAACCGTGCACAACAATAAAAAAATTGCATGTGCATCATCACTGCATACATCATTTTCTTTTATTTTTATTTTTAACAAATGTAAATGTTATTATCAAGGAAAGACATGTATATAAATGGAGGCCCAATCACAATGAATGCACAAAATAAATATATAGATCTTTACAACAACATAAAAAAGAGTCCAACCCAAACTTTTGAGCCTGGTTTTCCCTTTAACACCTTACGAGGGATATAAACATTTCTATTAGAGGAAAACTGATAAAAATAGTTTGAAAATTTTGAATTTTAACGATAAGAACAAAATAAATGGTAAAGTGAATAGTACCAGGATTAATTTTTTAGTGTAAAAATATGGTTTTTCGTTAAAGTAAATAGTACCGGCAGTTTTTCGTTAAAATTTCCTTCTATTATACTTCAATAAATTCTATTCTTTGATAAACCAAAAAAAAAAAACTTTGGAGCCCAAAACTAAAAAGCACAATAATAAAAAACCCGAGCTGCCAGTTTCCTTTGCCGTCGCCGGAGCACCAACCAACCATCCACCAAGAACCAACTTCCCTTGTAGATGTTGAAGATCCAACAAGGCAACAACCCAGAAATGAAAAGAAGAAGGCTCCATCTACCTGCAACAAGAACCATAAATATCCAAATCGCAACCACAAAGGAAAGGAAGCCAGTGGGAAATTCCACAAGCGGCAGTGCCGAGAATTGCAGACAACTGGATAATGGTGGTGTAAACACTCCAGCCGGAGCTCTATCCACCATCCGATAAACCCACAAACGCGAAGAAGGGAAGCATTTACAAATATGAAATTTTTTGGGAGTGAAGAAGACTGAGCCAATTGGTATAGGTAGAAGATGGATTGATTAGAACTATGGAGGTTAAAAAACAGTAGGAAGAAGATGACGGGGAAGGTCTGAATTTTGACAAAGTTATTTACTAATTAATTACTTGATAATACTTGAATTCTCCCTGCAGACAACACTTTATCGTAGTAACAAAAAATAATTAGATTTATGCGACTTGATACGGGTTCGATTTTCACTCATAGTACTCCTTCCCCTTCTATAAGAACTAATTAATTAACCTATTAACGTTATCACTCTACTAAAAATCACTTGTATCCTCTCTTTGGATGTACTCATTTCCAAAGAGGAAATACAAGTATTATTCTATTATAATAGTAGGATTTGTTAGACATAATTGTTTAACCCCCCCTAAGCAGGCTATACAAGATAATACATTTTCTAGTTCATCAACTATAAGGTAATAACAAATACAACTGAATATCCAGGTGCCATTAGCACATTGGTTTATGTTACATAAGTTTGCCATGTTGTAATAAGTTGGATTGAATAAGATTGGATTGCATTGCCACATAGGCTTGGTAATTATCACTGTACTAGTATACATACACTTTTGTACTGCCTTCGTTCATTAATTGGAAACTTTAGTGATTCCTGAGTCTCTCTTACTTTCTTCTTTTGCTATTCATCTTTTTCTACAGAATTACAGATTTATAACTCTAATTCAGTACTGTTAGGATAAGGAGTGCTAATTCATTTGACTAAAATACGTGTTGGTTATTTCTAACTCCTAGTAATCATTATTTCAGTGAAATTAATGAGGTAGCACCAGCAACATCAATTTCCAACCCTTGTCACTTGTTATATATACATTTTGCCAGAACAACTCTGTATGTAAATGAATATTCTTTTTAGAACCTCAGTAGTACGAGTAAATTTTATTAATAATATATTAACAACACTTACTAATACTAACATATCGATACACACCAGTTTTGTTTTAATTAGCAAAGTCTAGCGATTTGAATCTTCAAGTGCATGCACAAGAGAAAAAAATGGACAACTTCCATATTTGATAAGATGAGTAATTTAGATGGTAATAAATCAACACACAAATTATATCCTCGTTGATCATGAGAAGAAACTAGTTGAATCTAAGGAATTTGGTAGAGGGGGACTTGTTTGACTGCAAAGTCGATTAAAATTTTTTTGTTCACCAATGAAATTGGAAGGGAAAGGCATACAAATAATCCAAGGCAAAGAGAGAAAACAAAGGGCTAATGTTAATGTTGATCACATGATAAATTAGTTATCATATTAATTTTATATACATTACAGAAAATTCAGAGATCTAAAATTAACGATCAATTTGTTGCGAAAAATTACAAATCCCTTCAGGCTACAGTCTACAAGTTGTTCAACCATGGCCAACGATTTCTTGCTTATCAAAATTGAAAGAGTGGTTGAATGGATGATCAATTGGGACCCCAGCAGCTGAGGTACATGACTTTCCTGAGAGACTCCTCAGACTGCTTTATCTTCTCATCTTGTCTAACTTGAATTGAGATCAAAGCAGAAGATGGGGAAGAGAACTTGTTGGCCTGAGAAAACGACCCAAGTTGGTTCTTGGCATGCTGCTGCAGTAATCTCATAGTATAATTCCACCTGCAGATCCCCTGGTCTTTCAAGGCCTCCACAACTCCAACACTTGCTGCCACTACCCAACCTCTCCTTGCTGCTGCTGATGAAATAGTCATATTTTCTATCTGTATATATTTTTTAACAAATAACTCTTGATGGAAATTGCAAGTGAAGAAAACTGATGTTTGTTTGATGTGTTTGAATTTTGATTTGGTGAAGAAAATGGTGAGTGGGTGTTGCTTTTATATGGAGTAACACTTCAACTAAATTCATGAATGTAGGAGGAAAGTGGAAGCCCATATAATGTGGGAAAAACCATGGGAAGCCAATGGTTTACTTAGCTGGTCAGACTCACTCATTGACAGAGGAGACAAACTTAGGTTGGGTAGGACCAAGCAAAGGCACACGGTTTTCCTTTAAAAAAATCCATTTAAGCCTCAAGTATGGGAGGAGATACCACTTGTTTTACTTTATGGAGCTAAAACAGGGACTCGGTTTTTTTTTTTTTTTTTTTTTTTTAAATAAGAATTAGAGATGTCATTGTTAAAAGAAGTTGAGATTTATATCATAAAACTAATTGGTATTCTAACTCGATTTTTCATAAGTACATGCAGGGTTTATTTTATTTTATTTTTATGTGAGATTCTTCCCCCCAACAATTTTCCTAAATTAGAGAATGGTTATTAGAAAATATTTAGGTTTGAGTCTCATACTAAATGCCTAAAAGGGATAAAACCATGAAACAAACTAGTAAAGTCATCCAATCTGATACTAAATGCCTAAATTGCGTTGGACTGGATTCTCACTAGTAAAGTCATCCAATCTGATTCAATCATGTTGGTTTGAAATTTAGGGATCCAAAACCATTAAAATCGGATTGAACCAGATTGGATCAGTCGGTTTGGGAGGTTTGAAAGGGATCTTCAACACCCCTACAATCGTGGCTAATCTTCTGTCCTAGTTCAGACTATGTTTCTATTTCTGTTCTTTTGATCTAATGGAAAGTTTTTGCTCCCTTTTCTTTTGGTATGGTTGGATGTTGCTAATTCTTCACTCTTTTGGTATGGTTGAACGTCTTGCCAGCGACCACGGAGGCAGCCACACTGGAGCAAACGAGATACAAACAATTTTGTCTCAAATTTGAAAATCACCTAACTACGTTCAGCAACATTTCAAGGAAAGTGAGAGTATAATAGGCGCTTTTGTCAATCCATCATAGCACCATTTTTTGTGGGGGCAATATTTAAACTTCAATTTCCATAAGAGCCCTTCTTCAAATGTACCGTTGTGAAAATAAAAAAATTCAACTCAATAGTGATCAGCAATTCTCAGATTTATATGTTTGATTTACATGGCAATTGTCATAACATAACAAAATTTACATCAATTTGCCAGGACCTAGCAGACATCAATTGCCTGCCACTTACGATCCCAAACGATAGCCTTTGCTAATAACTTAAGGACCCCTTCATGGGGTGTTCCATCAGCAAGCGCTTACACAAAAACATGCAATCTTAATTTGCTCTTGTTTCTGTGAATGAATAATTGATTAGTTGTTGGGACCCCAGCAGCTGAGGTACATGACTGTCCTCAAAGACTCCTCTGATTTCTTCATCTTCTCATCTCTCACTTTACTCAGAACTGAAGCAGAAGGAGAAGAGAGCTTGCTGTTGGCCTGAGAAAATGACCTCACTTGGCTCTTGGCTTGTTGGCCTACATATCTCAAAGCAGAGTTCCATCTGCAAATCCCTTGGTCCTTGAGTGCCTCCACAACTCCAACACTTGCTGCCACTATAGCCTTGCTTGCACTTGATGAACTCATGATTTCTTTTCTCTCCTTTGGGTATTCTGAATTCTTTTGGTAGTGATTGTGAATGTTTAAGTGTTTGATGAAGGATATGAGCATGAAGCGCTCTTTATATGGGAACTAGAAAGGGTGGGCCTTTCCACCAATTACTAGAGGCGGTTTAGAGTGTAAAGCCAATGGTATATATATTTCTTTTCTTGTCTTTTTGTCACACTCATTACCACTAACTATACAAATGAGCACACGGTTTTCCTTATCAAATCCACCTAAGCCTCAGGTATGGGAGGAAACACCACCTGCTTTTGTTTGTTACAGTGAAAATGTGAATGTATATACAGATAAAATGTCAATAGCATGTCAATTAAAGTAACACGTATTAATACTAACATATCGATACACACTAGGTTTTTTTTTTTTAACAAATTCTAGCTACTTGAATCTTTAAGTGCATGAACCAGAGAAAAAATGGATAACTTCCATATTTGGAAAATGAGTAATTTTGATGATAATAAATCAACACAGTAATTATATCCTCATCCATGAGAAGAAACTAGTTGAATGTAAGGAATTTGTAAGGGTGGGCCTTTCCACCAGTAACTAGAGGCGGTTTAGGGAGTGTAAAGCCAATGGTATATATTTCTTTTCTTCTCCTTCTGTCACACTCATTGCCACTAACTATACAAATGAGCACACGGTTTTCCTTATAAAATCCAACTAAGCCTCAGGTATGGGAGGAAACACCACTTGTTTTTGTTTGTTTTAGTGGGAAATTGTCAAACTGTTTCCAAGACAAGATAATCTATTCAGCTAAACAACTATATCCTTTTTTTTTTTTGGGATAAAAATTAATTAACTCAGATTTCAAAGATTTTAGATTTCATTTTTCTAAATAGTACTATCCATACATCATTTTTTACCTTATACTCACTTTTATTAGTTTTTGTTCATTAATCTTTTTCATTCATTCGATCCAATAGCTGGAAATTAAGAGAGTGTATGAGAGGTAAAATTTGGTGTATGGATAGCACTACCCTTCTTATAAATAAATATCTAAGAAAATTGCTACTAAAAATTACTTAGAAAACAAACTTATTGAGAGAATAAATCTTACATCAAGTAAAATAAGTCTTATTTGATAGTTTAAATGATTTTGGCATCTCTCCCTTATTGTGAGTTGTGTTCGGATGGATACTCACATTCTAATATGAAATCAAAGCAGGCTATGCACTTGTTGAGTCAAGGGTCTACGTGCCCACACGTTAGCTAATTAATGTGGCCCACGTGCTAGACTTAAAATGACCCCACACTTCTTTGTCAATAATTGCGATATCATCAAAAAGTGGTGTAGTCTTTTTCGCGTGATGCCTTTATAGTATTTCTCCGGCTGGATTTGGATTCTCCGGGTGGTGTAGTCTTTTTGATGAGTTTGCAATTGCAGTATTTCTTATAGCATGAGTGGCCTCTCATTCCTGATCGAGAAATTTCTCATGTGGTTCTTCTTAAGCAAGGCTTCTTGTTGAGGAATAAATGTTATTATTCACTTTATGATGATACCTGCCTTCACTTCTTCGATTTTCAAGTGGTTCGCCTTTTGATTTCAAGTGATTTTACCCTGAAATAATTCTAGCCTTTCTTAAATTACTTTCAAGCATGTCCAGTCAGTCCAGTCATTTAGCTACAAGCTTCATACTTAAATACTCCTGACTGCTCAAATAGTCTTAAACAATTTTAACTATCTGAGTGGGCTTAAATATTCTTAACTACCTAAACAGGCTCCAAATTACGTGTCCAAATAGAAATTACCTAACTACGTTGATAAATTTCAATGGAAGAGAGTATACTGTATGCATTTCTGTCGCTCCATGTCATAGTACCAACTTTGGTGGGAAATTTTACACAATGTCAATGATTTCCGGAGTTCTTGCATTCTCTCATCATCGCCCATATATTGCGTATGCTTGCACAGGCCTATAAATTTTGAATAAAAAACGTTTGAATACTGGCAAATTTAACGCCATTATAGGATGATAAATGTTCCACTCAGGACAAAGTAACTAGTAGCTAAGTGTGTCCTCTGCGGAGTCCAGGGTGAATCTACAATTCACCTTATCCGCGATTGTGCATTTGCTAAGTGTGTCTGGCTTGCTACTCCGATTGGTATCCCTCCTTCTCCGCCTTATGTCCTCTCGATGTTGGATTGGATTCTGAGTTGGACTTCTCACCTCAATCCATCGAACTTTGCTCTTGGTTTAATGGTGCTTTGGGCAATCTGGGGTGCACGAAATAACCATCTCTGGAATGACTGTATGGACTCTCCTGACATCATCGCTGCTTGGGGTCTCTCTTGGTGGCAAAAGTTCCAGAGAGTTGCTCCCCCCCCCCCTCCCTGAGACTCGCTACTCGTCACCAAGTCCCTCATAGGTCGTCCCGCCCTCCTGCCCATTTCCTTCAAGCTAGGGGGTTTTCAAAACAATATCCTCGAGAGTGATTCATTCCAGATTGTGACGCATCTACATAATTCTTCCAATTATTTTTCCGACATTGGACTCTTCCAACTATTTGTCCGACATTGGACTCTTAATTGAAGACTCGCGTGTGATCCTGTCTTCAACCACTAGAGCTTATGCTACCATGTTCGTCGCCAAGTCAATCGTATTGCTCATCGCCTTGCACGGTTTGCCTTTACTTCAAGTTCGTCATGTAACTGGTTTGAGAAACCTCCGGACCTCATCTCAAATTTACTGTTTGACGAAGCTGTTTTGTAATTGACGTAGGGCTTTGTAACTCTGTTTTTGAAATGAAATGAATCTATCGAGTACTTTTTCAGAAAAAGAAAAAAAAAAAACAACTACTGGCTAAAGATGAAAAAAAGAAACGAGATCAAGGTAGAAATTCTCAGCAACAATTTCTGTTCTATATGGTGATTGTTACAACGAAACAAAATTTACATCAATTAGCCCCAAGCAAACATCATCATTTGCCGTAATTTACAACCCTAATCTTTGCTCTTGCTTTTGCGAATGAATCATTCAATTAATTGTTGGGACCCCAGCAGCTCAAAAACATGACTGTCCTCAAAGACTCCTCTGATTTCTTGAGCTTCTCATCTCTCACTTTACTCAGAGCTGAAGCAGAAGGAGAAGAGAGTTTGTTGTTAGCCTGAGAAAATGATCTCACTTGGCTCTTGGCTTGTTGGCCTGCATATCTCAAAGCAGAGTTCCATCTGCAAATCCCTTGGTCCTTGAGTGCCTCCACAACTCCAACACTTGCTGCCACTATAGCCTTGCTTGCACTTGAACTCATGATTTCTTCTCTCTCCTTTCGATATTCTGAATTCTTTTGGCAGTGATTGTGATGTTAAGTGTTTGATGAAGGATATGATCATGAAGTGCTCTTTATATAGGAATTAGAAAGGGTGGGCCTTTCCACCAGTAACTAGAGGCGGTTTAGAGAGTGTAAAGCCAATGGTATATATTTCTTTTCTACTCTTTGTGTCACACTCATTGCCACTAACTGTACAAATGAGCACACGGTTTTCCTTATAAAATCCAACTAAGCCTCAGGTATGGGAGGAAACACCACTTGCTTTTGTTTGTTTTGGTGGGAAATTGTCAAACTGTTTCCAAGACAAGATAATCTATTCAAGCTAAACAACTATATCCCCTCTTTTTCTTTTCTTTTTTCTTTTTTTTGGGATAAAAATTAATTAACTCAGATTTCAAAGATTTTAGATTTCATTTTTCTAAGTAGTGTTTTCCATACATCTCTTTTTACCTCATACTCACTCTTATTAGTTTTTGTTCATTGATCTTCCTCATTCATTCAATCCAACGGCTGAAAATTAAGAGAGTGTATAAAAGGTAAAATTTGGTGTAAGGATAGCATCGCCCTTCCTATAAATATATATCTAAGAAAATTGCTACTAAAAAATTACTACGAAAACAAACTTATTGAGAGTATAAATCTTACATCACCTAAAATAAGTCTTATATGATGGTTTAAATGATTTTGGCATCTCTCTCTTATTGTGAGTTGTGTTCGGATGGATACTCACATTCTAATATGAAATCAAAGCAGGCTATGCACTTGTTGAGTCAAGGGTCTACGTGCCCATACGTTAGCTAATTAATGTGGCCAACGTGTTAGACTTAAAATGACCCCACACTTCTTTGTTAACGATTGCAAGATCATCAAAAAGTGGTGTAGTCTTTTCCTCGCGATGCCTTTATAGTATTTCTCTGGATGGATTTGGATTCTCCGGGTGCTGTAGTCTTTTTTATGAGTTTGCAATTGCAGTATTTCTTATAGCATGAGTGGCCTCTCATTCCTGATCGAGAAGTTTCTCATGTGGTTTTTCTTAAGCAAGGCTTCTTGTTGAGGAATAAATGTTATTATTCACTTTCTGATGATACCTGCTTCACTTCTTGATTTTCAAGTGATTTTAACCTTAAATGATTCTAGCCTTTCTAAATTGCTCTCAAAAAAGTCAGCCCGGTCACTTAGCTACAAGCCTCATACTTAAATACTCTTGACTGCTTAAATCATCTTAAACAATTTTAACTATCTGAGTAGGCTTAAATATTCTTAACTACCTAAACAGGCTCCAAATTACGTGTCCAAATAGAAATTACCTAACTATGTTGATAAATTTCAATGGAAAAGAGAGAGTAAACTGTTTGCATTTCTGTCGCTCCATGTCATAGTACCAACTTTGGTGGGAAATTTTACACAATGTAAATGATTTCCAGAGTTCTTGCATTCTCTCCTCATCGCCCATATATTGCGTATGCTTGCACAGGCCTATAAATTTTGAATAAAAAACGTTTGAATACTGGCAAATTGAACGCTATTATAGGATGATAAATGTTCCACTCAGGACAAAGTAACTAGTGGCTAAGTGTGTCCTCTGCGGAATCCTGGGTGAGTCTACAATTCACCTTATCCGCGATTGTGCCTTTGCTAAGTGTGTCTGGCTTGCTACTCCGATTGGTATCCCTCCTTCTCCGCCTTACGTCCTCTCGATGTTGGATTGGATTCTGAATTGGACTTCTTACCTTAATCTATGGAACTTTGCTCTTGGTTTAATGGTGCTTTGGGAAATCTGGGGTGCACGAAATAACGGTCTCTGGAATGACCGTATGGACTCTCCTGACATCATCGCTGCTCGGGGTCTCTCTTGGTGGCAAGAGTTCCAGAGAGTTGCTTCCCCCGCCCTCCCTGAGACTCGCTACTCGTCCCCAAGTCCCTCATAGGTGGTCCCGTCCTCCTGCCCAGTTCTTTCGAGCTAGGGGGTTTTCATAACGTTATCCTCGAGAGTGATTCACTCCAGATTGTGACGCTTCTACATAATTCTTTAAATTATTTGTCCGACATTGGACTCTTAATTGAAGACTCGCGTGTGATCCTGTCTTCAACCACTGGAGCTTATGCTACCATGTTCGTCGCCAAGTCAATCGTATTGCTCATCGCCTTGCACGGTTTGCCTTTACTTCAAGTTGGTCATGTCACTGGTTTTCATAAACCTCCGGACCTCATCTCAAATTTACTGTTTGACGAAGCTGTTTTGTAATTGATGTATGGCTTTGTAACTCTGTTTTTCAAATGAAAAGAATCTATCAAGAGCTTAAAAAAATAAAAAAATAAAAACTACTGGCTAAAGATGAAAAAAGAAAAGAGATCAAGGGCGAAATTCTCAGCAACAATTTCTGTTCATGGTAATTGTTACAACGAAACAAAATTTACATCAATTAGCCCCAAGCAAACATCATAATTTGCCGTAATTTACAACACTAATCTTTGCTCTTGCTTTGCGAATGAATCATTCAATTAGTTGTTGGGACCCCAGCAGCTCAAAAACATGACTGTCCTCAAAGACTCCTCTGATTTCTTGAGCTTCTCATCTCTCACTTTACTCAGAGCAGAAGCAGAAGGAGAAGAGAGTTTGTTGTTGGCCTGAGAAAATGATCTCACTTGGCTCTTGGCTTGTTGGCCTGCATATCTCAAAGCAGAGTTCCATCTGCAAATCCCTTGGTCCTTGAGTGCCTCAACAACTCCAACACTTGCTGCCACGATAGCCTTGCTCGCACTTGATGAACTCATGATTTATTTTCTCTTTGATCTTCTGAACTCCCGTAGTAGTGATTGTGAATGTTTTAAGTGTTTGATGAAGAAGATGAACACCAAGTGCTCCTTATATAGGGGGATTACAAACGGTGGGCCTTGTCAAAACTAGGGGCGTTTAGAGAGTGTAGAGCCGATGGTATTTGTTTTCTTTTGTCACACTCATTGATGGAGACAAAATTCGGCTGGGTGGATGAAATGACACTCACTGCCCACTGGACCACAAATGAGCACACGGTTTTGCTTATTATATCCATTTAAGCCTCAAGTATGGGAGGGATTGTATAAGTGGAAATTGTCACATTGTTTGACAAGCTAATCATTTTTTTTAAATAGAGATGATACAAATCTTAATGAAGATCCTCCACAGATTATTAAATCATAAGTGTCTAACTTATCCTATGTATGATTTCTGGGGGGAAATTACATACGTATGTCGTAGATCAAGACAAGCTATTCTACTGATTACCAAGTAACTCAAGTTTTTGTTTTTTATTACTGAGAAAAAATAAAATTACAAAACAAACTCATACAGAATAAAATATAGAGAAGCTAGGGAGAGAAAAGAGACAAAATAAATATATGATATGAGTAATGCTGTATATTAATATTCTAATACAAATCATGTGATGTATTAATAATAGAAAACATGCACGTTAATCAACATTTAAGTAATAATTCAATCATTGACATCCGTGTAATAAATAATTTATAAAACTTGATTAAAATAATTGATTTCTGTAATATTACTCGATATGATACGCACACACACGTATGATTAAAATAATTGGTCTCTGTCGTATTACTGGATATGGTATATTTTGAGATGCCTTATATATATTCTATTATTTTCAGATCATTACTTCCAAATTTGTTTTGAAAAAACTTGGTAGCATATGGGGCCTTAATTTTGTTTTGACAATATTGCTAGCTGAATTTTTTTTCACTTTTGTGCCTCTATCTACCATTAGATTACGTTTGACGATCTAGACTAAAAGAACTTTTGACAATATTGCTACCTGAATCCAATTTTCACTCAAAATTCCATTTAGGTTAACAACGTGACTTGCACAAGACAACATTTTAAGGACAATTTCTTCAAGTCGTCTTACGTACTCATAAAAAACAAAACAAAAAAAACAAAATTTTCACTCATGTAATGCCAATTGTAGATGTTTTGAGGTCATTTCCTCCAAAACAATTTGGATATCTTTTAATTTCTCGCATCTTCTCTTATGACGTGTTTACGTAACCATAATGAAAATATGTGGAATTGAATTGAGGAGAAATTGAAATGAGGAGGAGTTAGAATCAGATTCCTATTGAAGTTGTTTACTTAAATGTTCTAGAATCGGAATAAAAATGAAACTAATTCCATAAAGTTGTTTACTAATTTAGCAGAATCAGAATATAAACCAGTATGATTACTAAATTGCCCTTATCCCGATTCAAATATTTTATATACTTTTTCTAATAAAATTTGATATAATATATAATAGTAAGAAAAAATAAATAAATCGCTTTTTTATTTCATAGACACATTAAAGTGTTTTTTTATTTATTTTTAATAAATTTAAGTATGTACTTTAATATTTAAATTTTCTCGCTCAAAATTGTAGTTTCTTCTATTCGGCATATGCATGGAGTTGTGCATAATGTGAATGAGGGCATAATAGGAAGAAAAAATGCATTCCTGATTCCTTCACCATCCAGGAATCCAAATACCTCACCTATGAAGGGAGTCCAATTCCACCAATTTCAGGAATTGAATTCCATTTTTCGTGTGGGTCACACACGCTATTGATTCCTCCAAATCATAGTAAACACAAAAATTATCCGTAATCGGAATCGGATTCCTTATTTTCATTTCGATTACGGATGCATAAACACGCCCTTAATCTAACCATAACCTAGCTCGTATTTTGTAACTCTGCTCAAGATTGATGATGAACTAACCGCATTTTATCTTCTTCTCATAATCAAACTCCAATTAATTCTTAATTATGTAATTATTAGTTGAAAAAACTTGTTTAGTATAAAAAATAAGTTGCATTTTTATCTATTTTTTTTAGTGGAAATTACGTGGAGGGTCCTCACATAAGCTTGCAAGTAAATTGGCCAACTCTCTAGCTTACTAATTAAATTTATGATGGAAACTCAATTATGGGCGAAATCCAGCGGTCACACGCACTTCACGTCATCCTAATTGTTTTGTCCATATGTTTTTTTAATGATATACCTAAACCACACAATGAGCTAGCCTAATTTAGTATTAATGTCGCAATTCACGAGCGTCAAACTTAATACCTCTTATTTACAAATGAAGAGAAATATCACTACACTATTATACTAAGTGAATTATTGTTCACTTGACAATTCACCAATATTAAAAATAAGAGTAATGCTAAGGAGATTAAATGTGCAGATTAAATTTTATAAACTAAATTATATGGAAGTTGATGATTGGAAAATTACTTAAATGTTGATTAACGTGCTTATTTCTTATTGTTGACACATTATTTAGTTTGTAAATTTAGTTTATAAATTTGGTTTACCTATCATTACTTAAGTGTTGATTAACATACTTATTTCTTATTGGTGACACATCATTTAGTCCATCATATGTGAGACTTTGTCATTCATATTTTTACACCTACCTTATATGTGTTGAATTTTTAGATTAAATATACAGACAATACTGATTCGGTGACATGGATATGTAGCAATTTTCAATGTGATTGTTGACAGATCATTTAGTTTATAAATTTGGTTTACCTATCATTACTTAAGTGTTGATTAACATGCTTATTTCTTATTGGTGACACATCATTTAGTCCATCATTTGTGAGACTTTGTCATTCATATTTTTACACCTACCTTATATGTGTTGAATTTTTAGATTAAATATACAGACAATACTAATTCAGTGACATGGATATGTAGCAATGTGATTGTTGACACATCATTTAGTTTGTAAATTTAGTTTATAAATTTGGTTTACCTATCATTACTTAAGTGTTGATTAACATGCTTATTTCTTATTGGTGACACATCATTTAGTCCATCATCTGTGAGACTTTGTCATTCATATTTTTACACCTACCTTATATGTGTTGAATTTTTAGATTAAATATACAGACAATACTAATTCGGTGACATGGATATGTAGCAATTTTCAATGTGATTGTCACATGTATCAACTTCAATTCAAGTTCTAATGAATCTAAGTGGGTACATCCTCAAATTTATGGCTTGATGAATTCACCATGAGCTCCAATTTATGTCAACTAGCCTTCAAGCACGCGCTTATGCGTGTGCATAAGGTATTTTTTGAATCACGACATGCTACACGCGACTTACACGTTTTAAATGTATTTATATACGTTAATTGACAAAAAGAAAGTCAAATATTGGAAGTAAATGAATAATCTTAGATCATGTTAGAAGAAACCCCTTAAGTGTAGATAATATCGTTTGTTCAAAAAAACAAATCATTTGACAACTAATTTAATCATATTATTATGTGCGTGCGAAAGACCTTTTTTATAACCAACATTACACACTTATCACGATGTTTTAAACGTGTTTAAAAATAGAAAAAATAATATTTAATAAACAATTGATAGAATCATATTATTGCTAGCCTATAGTGGGGTACTAATAAAAAAATTAAAATAAAAACTGTACAAAAAAAAAATTAATTATTAAAAAACACTATCAAAATGACAAAAATATCCCTACAACTATTCATTATTTTTTATGAAGCTTGTGACACAAAAAAACACTATTCATTTGGGCTTGTTGGCTTTATATAAAAGAAGATAATTAAGGCCCCCAGCAGCTCAGGTACATGACTTTTCTTAGAGAATCCTCAGCTGCTTGGTTCTTCTTTTCGGATTTCAGTTTGTTCAAAACCATTGCAGAAGACGAAGGCGATAGTTCCTTTGCTTGCAAGAAAGATCTCACATTGCTCTTGGCATGCTGGTGAACAGATCTCATGGTGTAACTCCATCTGCCGAAACCTTGATCTTTCAAAGCCTCAACAGCTCCAACGCTAGCCGCTACTATCCACGCTCCTCTTGTTCCACACATCTTGAAATATAAACAGAACAGAACAAACAGCTTAGTTCTAGTTTAGTTTCTTGGGTGTGAATATATATAGGAGAAAGATGAGGCTAAAACCAGATGGATTCAGAAAGGCAAAAATACAAAGTTGCTGTGGATTTGTATATTTCAGGAAGCTGGCTTTGTCCTTTTAAGTTTTTTACATATGAAGTGACAAATTATGCAGTGGTTTTCAGCGAAGAAACCAGGGGTCTTGCACCTTGTTTTTGCAAAATTTGATCAAAATAGTAACGGAAGGAGGACCCCAATATTGTGATCTCAGCTTATTTGTCTCAGTTGCATGCTATCACGCATCATGCCATCATGCCATCATGCACCCTTTCATCCCTGCTGTATATTCTAGTGATTATGGTCTTATCTCCATCGTTCAGTATGGTGTGCCTGATAAGTACGAATACAACCCATTTCGTGCTACTGTACGTTGTGTACCGGATCCGTTTTCGTCTAATCGAAAAGAAGGAAACAAAATAATCTTATCGAATCTGCGTTATGCTTCGTACCAACTTGATCCGTTTTGCCATTTTCAAATTACGGTTTCAATAATCCTATACTTACCTCTACTCAAGTTGCGGCCATGACTTCACTCATTTGTTAGAATCAATCAATATCATCCCATACATAATTTAGGATAAAAATGAAATGTTACTTGGTGATCACATTATTTACAAATTTAAACTCATCTATATATCATCAGTACCTTTTGAACTCTAAAAGCTAGTAGCCATTACTTCAATCAAGAAACCCAAAATTTAACCAATACCCGTTTAACATGATCCGAAAAGCCACACTCTATAAATTAACAAATTTTGTAAAAGTTAGAAGAAGCTAGGCAACATCAATCATGCCTTATCATCATCACATGTATTCTGAAATAAGGTTTCCTACCATCTATGATGCCGTGACGAAGAAGGTTAAAGTGGAAGAGAGACGGATCGCGTTACAATACTAAAATAACCATATGTATACTGTGCATGTAATGTACTATCTTCTCCTTATTATGCTAGAACTATGCAGTTGAGCTTTCTTCCTCGGAAAGAGAGTTTTGGATTCAAGCCCACATACGGGATGTAATTTTTGTTAAGGCAAAATAGCTAGTTATATAAATACTTGCCTTGTCATGCTCTGCAATTTTGTTCTTGACAAATACAAACTTGTGCATGAGAGGGTAATGAAAAAAAAAACTAGATTAAAAACCGTCATTTGTTTCATCCCATTTCATCATCTTTCAAAATTTTCTCTCTTTCTTTACTATATAAAAGAAATGTTTTGAGACACCAAAGAGACCATTCTGTACTTCACTTTTATAAAAGTACAAAAGAAAATTTATACATACTGTAGGATGATATTTTTAGAGTGTCAATAACAACTCGTATAAAAAACACATAATATTTAACATTGCACGGGGAAAGAGGGAAGATCAAGATCTTGATTCATACAATTAATCCAACAAAATTAGCTGTACATATTATTAACACTAGAAAACAAAAGGACTAGTAATACAGATCGATGACCACATCACCGCATCTGCATGGATCGTCTAATTAAACACTAATTAACAAAGGTTAATTGGGAGTTGAATTTCCAGATATTTATTAGTAGGTAATTAGGAATAGTACTTAAGACTCATCGTCTCTCATGTATTAGGACCCCAACAACTCAAGTACATTACAGTCCGGAGAGATTCCTCAGCCTGCTGTTTAAGCCTGCACTGATGATCACAGCTGCTGGTACTATTCTTGTTGTTTACAGCACCAGAAAATTCTGTGGCCAATTCCTTGCGACATGCCTTGCCTTTAGACGCTTGGTCTCTATTAGTGCTTCCTCTTCCTTGCATTGCTTCTGATATTTGAATCATTTCAAATGAAAGTAGTGTTTTAGTCGTTTGGGTGTGGCTTAGAACTTGGGAAACCAAGTTTCATATATAGGCAGAGAAAAGGTCATTAGCATATAATAGCTGCAAAATTTTAGTGGAGTAATTTAGTTTGACTGTAATTCAAATTAATAATTAGATATGACTTTATGAATCTTTCCAACCTTCGGAAATGTGAACTGCAGTAGCAAAAGCACCTGCTGGCCCTCTTTTAAAAAGTAAAAAAAGATATGAATTGCGATCTGTAGCTAGCCGAGTGGAAAGTAATCCACATGACATTGAGAGTGATTCAAATATTAAATTACATTGAGGATCAGGGAGCAGCATTGTGGTGTTCCACTTGGCATTATATTTCCGTATTCGCTTCAAATTTATAGCAATCAACAGATCAAACCATTTTTTTTTTCTCTCACTTTGCTTGTTTATTTTGATGGATTCCCAAGCTATGCTCCTCTTCTCGTATACAATATATGATCCTATGGTTTAATTAAGGAAATGGTTGTGGACTGAAACTAAAAAACAATAGGGTGCACGTTCCCTTCATCGACATTGGAGCAAAGTAAGGCATATTATCACATGGGTGGAAGATTAGCATATACACGTTTAGCTCTGCAAGGATATGATTGATACCTAACACACTTCCTTTAATATCCTTTAATTTGCTTTTTAAGTATTGGATTTTGTTTACTACTTTAGAAGCTAATCACTAGATTCACTACCACTCCACCCCATTCATCTTTTTTTAATTTTTTTTAATTTTTTTAATTTTTATAAATTTTACTTTTAGGAGGAGGAGAGAAAGTTTGAAACTATTATAATAATTTAGAAGATGAAGAAATTTCGAACTCGGAATTATGGGTAGAAACCCAACAACCTATTTCCTACAATATTGAACCATTCATGATTATCATGTATCATTTGTTACATATAATGCATAGACTTAAATTTATGTATATTGATGACCACTTAGCGAATAGATAGCCATATCTACATCTGTGAGAGCAACATATATAGAAAAATGTGTCAACAATGTGATTAGTAAATATGGTTTGAATAGCAACACTTTATTCAAAAAGTAAATAACTGTAAACTCGAATGGGGAAGCCTACTACCCTTTGTTAATCGTTTTCAATATTGGAAGGAAACTCAAAGTTTGGATACCAACTTTTTTCTATCAAAACATGGAAATAAAATAAAACTTAAGATTTAATGGTATAACAACAACAACAATACGTTAAAAGTGCTTTTGAGCTTAATGTTTTAGACAAATTAATGAGTTTTCAAAGTGGCCAAATTTAGTTGAAAGTTAGGTAAGAACTAATAATCAAGTTACTTATATCAATATCAGTCTTCCACTAACTAAGTTTTTATTAGTATTACAAGAGATCTCAAAGTCAAATCTTTCTTTCTGAAACGATAAATAAGAGAGGCTACCACATTGTCCAATAAAAATGGGCAATGAATGATTCTAGTTCCTATAGTTTGAGCAAAATTTCACTTTCAGTTCTTGTAGTTTCAATTCTTGCGATTTCAATCTTTGTAGTTTATTAATTGTTGTTGTTTAAGGACAATACCTTAATTGTGGTTTTGTTGGTCACTACTACTTATGTGACATATGTAAAGGTGGGTTAGTGTTTTTGCATTTTTTTTTCTTTTTTTTTTTAGCAATCTCTAATTTTGACTTTTCAATGTCGTAATACAACGCACACACTTCTCAATTCGCTAATTTCTTAAATTAAAAAAAAAAACTCTAAGAAAATTATTGTCCCTCAATCACACAATTATTAAACTACAAACCTAAATCGCAACATATTTTTTTTAACAAACAATACACTAAACGGGTTAGCAATAATATGGTTCAAATTCGTCATTGATGATAATCAAACTTCAAATCTCTCATTTACAAGTGAAGGTTGCAACAATTAAAGATCAAAGTGAAACTTCACTTAAACTATAATAATCAAATCATACTTATCTATTATATATAAAGAGAGAAGAAAAGGTGAATAGTGTTTTGGTGTCACCAAGCTTCAACAAAAAAAAAAAGGACAAAAATTCCCCCAAAACAAAAAACTTCAAAGGCATCCCAAAATAAAGCATCAAATAAGGTAGGGGCATTTTCGTCATTTTAATAGTATCTTTTAATAATTAAATTATTTTGTGGTTTTTTTTTGTTTTTGTTTTTAATTAGTACCTCATAATTGGCTAGCAATAATGTGATTCAATTTATCTATTTTTAAACATGTTCAAAACATCTTAAGAGATGTGTAATGCCGATTATAAAAAAGATCATTCACACGCGGATAATAATGTGATTAAATTAGTTGTCAAATGATTTTTATTTTTGTAACAAACAATATTATCTATACTAAGGGGGGAGGGAGGTGGGCTTAGCCTCACAATAGGTTAGCAACAATGTGATTCAATAAGTTGTTTATTAAATATTATTTGCACTATTTTAAACACGTTCAAAACATCTTAAGAGGCGTGTAATGCTGGTTATAAAAAAAGTCTTTCGCACGCGGATAATAATGTGATTAAATTAGTTGTTAGATGATTGTTTTTTTTAACATATAATATTATCTACACTAAAGGGGAGGGGGTGGGCTTAGCCTCACAATGGGCTAGCAATAATGTGGTTCAATCAATTATTTATTAAATATTATTTTCTCTATTCTTAATGTAAATTCTATAGAGACCGATTTTATTATGTGAATTCAACTGCTTTAATTGGTTTATGAGAGATTTCTTCTAGCATGATCTAAGATTATTCATTTACTTCAAATATTTGACCTTCCTTTTGTCAATTTACACATATGTATACATTTAAAATGTGTTAGTCGCGCGTAGCATGTCGTAATTCAAAAAATATCTTCTACATGCTCATGAGCTTGTGCATGGAGGCGAGTTGACCCATAAAGTGAAAAGAAATCATAGTCTGCCAAAAAATAAAGCGGCCCGGTCCAATCCAATTCAACCCGGCCCATTAAAATATCTCTCTTTTGTAGTGCACCGCACGGCACTGGGCACAAAATTACTGGCTCACAAATCGTATCAAACACTGGATAAGCAGCCCTTCCTTTCGTGGACCTCTATCTCTCCCACTCCCACACTTCTCAACTACAATTAATATATAAATTAAAATTCTAAAACCCACGAAATCTTCTCTCCCTCTCCACCATGCTCAAAATTTTCCCGGAAATTTTTCAACGCTAAATTCTCTCTCTCTCTCTCTCTCTCTCTCTCTCCAATGGCGGCTGTTGCTGCTCTGTCTTTCTCGGCACTCAGTCCATGCTCTGATAGAAAATCGGTGGTCTCGTCCACTCGGAATTTGGCTTCCACCGCCGATGGCCTTCGATTCCGTAGGTGCATTTCCAGCCGTAGCGGTGGAATTCGAGCTTCGAGTTCGAGCTCTCGCATGGTGGTTCATTGCATGGCAGGATCGTCAGGTGGGTTTTTCTTGGTTACTTGTTTGATGGCATTTAATCGTTTAAATTTGCTGCATTTTCTCGGGAACTTGACTGGATCTTTATTTTATATGTTTGCTGCCAAAGCTTAATTTATTTTTAAAAATATTGTGCATTGAACAATGTTTAAAGTATAATTAAGTTCGATCTAATTATATTTAATGCACTTTCTTTCTTGCCAAATTATGGTCGTTTTTGTTTTTTGACAAACAACAAGATAATTACACTAAATTCATTTAACTACGAGCCGGTATTTGAACTTGGATGCAGAGGGTGGAGTATGGCTAAACCTTTGTCTGCAAATTATGGTCTTTTTTGTTGAAAGTAGAATTTTGACTTGCAGATATGGAAAGGAAGGATTTTTATTAATCATTTTGTGTAATCCTGTGAAACAAGACGAATGGGTCCTTAATGAATGAGGCTAACTATACTGTAAATGTTCATATTCTTCAGCTGCTCAGCACCGGTTTTCTGTTTCCGAATCGATATGTTTGAGTTGAATCAGAGTTTTTATTAGTCAAAGTTTTGTGCTTAACATTTTTGGTCATTATGTGGTATGATTGCTTGATTTGCAGATCCTCCGACTGTGGCGGATACAAAGTTGAAATTTTTGAAGGCGTATAAGCGACCAATCCCTAGCGTTTACAACAGTGTCCTGCAGGAGCTGATTGTGCAGCAACATTTGATGAAGTACAAGAGGACATACCGGTATGATCCTGTGTTCGCTCTTGGTTTTGTCACTGTATACGATCAGCTCATGGATGGATACCCCAGCGATGATGATCGAGAGGCAATCTTCCAAGCGTACATTAAAGCGTTAAATGAGGACCCAGAGCAATACAGGTTTGTCACTTGTGTTTTATCTTCTTTAGGGATTTATTTTCTCTGTTTTCTGCTGTGCTTAACTATTTGAAATGCAGCAATGTGGTATGTAAATTGTGACGATCACATATTATGAGGTTAAAAAAATATGAAAACTGAGTAAACATATTATGAGGTTGAAAAAAAAAATGAAAACTGAGTAAACATATTAAGTGGCTAATTGAGACTGATATTGCTATGATGCAGTCCTTTATGTGATAACCAAGGAATATCCCATTAAGAAGATAGTTTCTTTTCCGGTCATCGGAATCATACTAACTTCATAGTTCTACACCAGAATTTCCTAGTTTCTGGCAGAAGGTTGATTGATAAAATAATGTGCTTAAGATGCTGTAGAAAAAGAAAATGAATCCTAATTCACATATGATCAATCTCTTTCTAATATGTTTGAGAAAAGTCTCTATCTTGATTAGATAAGTTTCAATGCTAAGCACTACAGAACTGATGCACAAAAGTTGGAAGAGTGGGCTAGGGCGCAAACTTCCAGTTCATTAGTGGAGTTCTCATCCAGAGAAGGAGAAGTTGAGGCAGCACTGAAGGACATTGCAGAGAGGGCAGCAGGAAAAGGAAGTTTTAGCTACAGTCGTTTCTTTGCTATTGGGCTTTTTCGTCTTCTTGAGGTGGCAAAAGCAACTGAACCAACAGTATTAGAAAAGGTTAGATTTTCCAGTCCTATGAACATTACGGCTCAATGATGGATATTCGGCCAAGTGATTAGGTTACTGCATTTTGAGCTTGTTTGAGTTAATGATTGTTTGGATTCAATTATTCAATGGCCTTGCACGATGATAGCAATGATTGAGCATGTACACTTTGGTTCTGTTCAACAGTTATGTGGAGCCTTAAACATTGACAAAAGAAGTGTGGACCGGGACCTTGATGTGTACCGCAATCTGCTTTCCAAGCTGGTTCAGGCCAAAGAACTGCTAAGGGAATATGTGGACAGGTAACAAATCCCAGGATCATAGCAGTTATTGAACTCGTAGCATTACATGTGATAGATAAGATAAGACATGATAATAATCCTCAAATCGACTGATTTCGTAATCACATTTCATACAACATCCACCAATTGACACTTTAACATCATACCGGTTGATCCCCTGTACTGCCTAACATTAAAATTCATAGCTCCAGTTCGATTATCTATAGCTTAGGTTGTAGTTTATGATCCAAGGACAGGTAAGCTTTTGTGCTTACTGCTCTCCATCATATTTGAATGCACTGAATTTGGCTTTCAGGGAGAAGAAGAAAAGAGAAGAACGGGCGGAAACACAGAGGGCCAGTGAAACAGTTACGAAATGTTTGGGGGACTATGACTATGTTAGCCAGTGATCGGAGTTGTGGCTCCTTCAAAGCTGATCACTCTCCGCAAAGCTGAAGATCCCCAAATCTTTTAAGGTTTTTGAGGTAGAGTTGGAGTTTTTATACCTAGACAAGTACCTTTCATCAGCTTGTACGTTTGCAGTTTTAGTGTATTGCTTGCAGTGGTGATCCGGCGACAGCCTATGTACCGACATATCTTACAAGTTTGTTTCTCATCAATATCTTTTGTTTTACTGAAAAGAAGTGTATTATAGCTTGTAAGTTTGTAACTACAATTCTCGATGTGCAAAATTTGGATCGAGTTCCCCATAGTAAAACTAATTTTCTCATTGTCTCTCTCTGTCTTTCTCAAGACGACAACAAAAATGGCGTCAGCGCAGTAACCGATTCTCGATTTAATTCACTGCCATTGGGTTTGAGAATAATTATTTGCATTCATTCACATAAATCAATCATTTACAGCTAGATAACAATGGGGTTGCTAAGTAAGAACCCTAGAAAGCACAAAACAATACTGATAGAAAGATCTTCCATGGATTCCTGCTAGAAATGTTACTAGGATGATTACGAAATTCCAAAAGAAATCTCACTCAATCATAAGGGGAATTGGACAGGACTGAGAAACAAATTACTTCGGGCTGGTTTGGTATTGATGTGCTTTAAAAAAAAGTTGTTTCTGCTATGATGTGAGAATAAGCTCGTTTTTGCTGCTTCACGTTTTCAGCTTTTTTTCACCCAAAAGTGTGAAAATAAGCTGTTTTTAAGTGTTTACCAAACACCTTTTTGAGCTCAGCTTTTTTTTATACCCACTTTTTATAAAATCACCTCAGTACCAAACCAGTACTTAATAAGAAGTTAACTGAGATGCGAAACATCAATCTCTTCCGGGAGCTTAAATGTGTCTGCTGCACCAAACTTCTTATACTCTGCCGATTCACGAGTTTCTTCATCATCCCAATCCTCTTCCTCATTTCCCTCGCTGCTGTGTGACTCAGGATTGTGAACGCTTTTAGACCTGCAGCCATGTCGAGCAAGAATGTTCACCTGGTGAAGGTGAGATATTTCAACCATGATAGTTTCATCATCAACTGGGAGGGGTTGCTTCCAGGGTTCCCCGTCGATCCTCATGTACGTATGATCAATTGCACCCTTGTGAAACTCAAAGCGAATACGGTGGGCCTATCATTGATAAAAAAATAATAGTGAGTAAATACCCAATGCTGGACGGTACAATTGATTTATGAACGTAGATTTAGCTTCTTGATCAAATACCTGGGCAAGACGAGTCCCATGTCCCTTCGGCGCAAGCAAAACAAGCCCATGCCATGCATCTCGAAATCCAACAACTTCAACAAGACCATCGTCTACATAAGCTGGAGTAAAACGTCCCTGTAAAGTCATAATCCACCAAATATGTTAGATTTGAGAAATACCAATATAAAGAGTATTTCAACTACTTATCTAAAACAAAAGGAGGAAAGGGGGAGTGTTGTGAACTAACATTATGCCTCCTAGCCGGGACTCCCCAAGGATTAAATCCACCAGAAAAGCTAGGCAAATTGAGGATCACAATTGACTTGATACTGGACATAGAAACAGAAAGTTTAATAAGACATAATTGCAAAGGGAAATCAAACGTAAATACATCAAGTTCCGGAAAGAAACCAGGGGGAAACAAACAGTGCAAAGAAATTTGCATTGAGCAAGCAATGTACTTTGGAGGAATTTGGAGATCTTCCCATTGGCCATGGTTTTTCATGATCTTCACCTTTGCGAACTCCGCTATGTTCCTATTTCAAGAGAGATAATAAACTTCACATTCAGTAAAGAATGTTTTAGAAAGCGATTCCTTGCTGGACGGGCAATTCTCTAGATGCTCACCGTGAAGTAGATTGAGAAGGAGAAGAAGAAAACCAGCCTTGTGAATGGGTAATCTTTGCATAAGTAGCCTGTATTTAGAATTAAAAAGACACAGGAGTAAGCATAGTTTACTGTATATGACACATATAAAAATGAGCTAGAATACCCTGATCAACAAACAAGCAACCTTTTAGCTGATGTTAATATTATGAATTTGTTACAAGATCAAAATAGTTTTCATTCGTTTACTACGTGATGTCCATGCGTTTACTACATGATGTCCATGAACAAAAATGGTTTTTGCAGAAACTCCATACCTGATTGGTTAACTGATTTTTGAACTTTTCGGGATGCAGCTTTCGCTCAGTATGAAACGCATATGATACTTGAGCATCCATTCCTAAACACAACCACAAACATGTAGAGTTCATTTCAGAAAACACAGTTGAGTGAGAGAAGATATTGATAAACAATTAATCGTCTTATTTTGAATGTACAACGGTGGGACTTAAATGGACTGACAAAAGGAGAGATTTACTAGAATGATTAAGATAGCTTTGCAGATTTATGTTCAAAATACTTGACAGGACTCCAAGGGAAGAACTCCTACCCATACTGAAGTAGTTCCAAAATCCCCCACGAAAGGTATGGCACCCTTCCTGCAAAACACCGAAAGTTTGTGCCTATAAAACATCCCCAAAGGTTTGTATCTAACAAGAAAGAGAAGAGCTTTGAGCTTAACAAAAGTAATGCAATCATTTAAAGTAACATTTTGACATGGAGCTTAATTTTGCAAAGAAAAAAAATCAGCCACCAATAGCAAGCGGACCCAGCTCCTGAAGCTTGGCTTAGCAATAGCTGATTCTATCTGTCTGCTAATCCCTGAGACTGGTTCTCTTGGCTAATGAGCCAGATAAGTCAGAACTCTACTATATTGAGAATAGGGATAATTACCACGTTCAGCTCATTTGAATCAGAGACACGGCCAAATGCATGCAAAGAATGTGGTAGGTCAAGAGGCGCAATGGGATCACACGGACCTTCTTTTGGTATCCTCATCCTCATGAGAATGTGCCAGCTATATCAGAATAAAGAAGGAAAAATAAAACTAGAACTTTCATTTACGGGAAAAATGAGAGGCAAATGGTTAAAACTACAAAGAAAATGCACTAATGACCTAACGAGAAAAAGAGTGAACAAATTAGTCAGAATACTTCATCACTCCATCATATGGAAACAGGTAAATCTAAGATATACGAACAATAAAGAGTAGATTTAAAATGATGAGATCTGATCATTTGACACATCTAGCAACAGGGCTGTGAATCTACAGAAGGTGAATTTACAAAGTTTAAGATGTGAAAGGAAACAATGATGACTGTCTAACCTGTCTATTTTCATTTCCTTGGCTCTCTTTACTTGGTCCAAAAAATGCTTCACGGATTGAGGATCTGTCCCAGGATTCTTCTTCCCCTGTATATTAGCAAACAGCACGTCATGCATGCACGATTCTGGCGATCAATTGCTGCATTTCTTACTACCATGACAATCACAAATTACATATAACATTTAAACTTCAATGAAAAAATGGAGAAGTTTTCTCCTCAATTTACCGATATACACAAATATATATACATATATATATACATACATACATATATATATATATCAATGAAAAAAGAACTACTGATATAAAAATATAACAAGCATGTATAAACACAGAATTTACTTGACTCAGATTGTACACGATTTGCCTCGCTTCACAGTTAAGAAAGACAAGGGAAAAAAGTACGAGTCTTAAAAAGAGATGAGTGCAATCAAAGTTGTAACTACCGTCTGCCTGCATAATGTCAAAGCATATTGTAATTTGCATGCAGTACAACTCAACCAGTCTTCCACATATGAAATATCCATTTTAAGACAACAAAGACATCGGGACAGGAAATTCCTTACCCATCCAAATGCAAAAGGAAGATTGTTTCCAGTTCCCAGTGGTACAGTGGCTATTGGCGGCGAATGAGATAATCTGAGATCAGAAACAACTCCAAGAAGCCAACCAGCAGTTCCATCACCACCTGCAACCTAGAGGGGCAATTCATGTCAGAAACATGAAAAGGTAACATCACACAAGGTCATGAAAAATAGAAAATTCACACCACTAACGTTGATTTAATTCGACTCACAATGATTCTCAAACTCTCTTGAATCTTTGTAGCGACTTCATCTCCATTGCGCTTGAGCATTTCAAGATTCGCATAGATTTGGCTCAGCACCTTATCAGGAGCCTCTTGCCCCAAATCATAAACCTAAAAATTATTTAGTTCAAGGTCAGGTTCATAAAAACTTCAAACTAAAACCCAAACGTTATATTCAACCAAATATTCAAAACAAGAAGAGTATATTGTAGCTATGGTCCCTCAACTTTAACTCAATTGAAGCAATGGTCCCTCAACTAAAAATTCATTACTATTGGTCCCTCAACTCATCAAAACGTGCAGCTATGGTCCCTCAACTAAAAATCTATAACCATTGGTTCCTTAACTTTAATTTAACTGGAGAAATGGTCCCTTAACTTTAACCTAATTGTAGCAATGGTCCTTCCAACATAACTCGTTTTAACAAAAATTTTGACGTAATTGACGAAAATAACCATAATTACACACTTTGATGAGTTGAGAGACTCTAATTATATAAATGGTTATTCCAACATAACTTATTTTGACAAAATTTTGACGAAATTGATGAAAATGACTATAACTACGTATTTTGAAAAGTTGAGAGACCAATGGTAATGGATTTTTAGTTGAGGGATCATTACTCCAATTTGATTAAAGTTGATGGACCATTGCTACAATTTACTTAAACAAGAAATCTAACAACATTCAACCCTATAGAAAGTACCTGATTTTCGTTTAGAAGGGAACGGTATGTTACAAGAAGATTCCCACCAAGCTGGCCACCACTTTTGGAGTTGATAAACACTAAAACCGGACACTGCGGTACATCAGCAACATGTTCACTCTTTGATTCAGGCACTAGTACATACTTAGGAATTCTGAAATCCTTCAAGAAATCCTCCCCAAAGTGAGAATTTGCCATTATGCCTCTTATCTGCACTACAAAAATCATAATCAGTAACCGCGAAAAGAGCAGTTTTCTACAACCAATTTGAATTCGTGTCCTCCGAAAATACAAAATTTCACAAAACTAATCCAATACCATGCAATTTCATTGGTGATTAATCCAAGGAAAAAAGGAATTTTTTTTCATTGGTAGTGATAAACAAGTTGAAAGATTCAGTCTTTGCAGGATAAACATATATCAAATGGCACAAAAATTTACTCACAGAAAACCCATTTGGAAATAGAATCAGAAAAGTGCTGGAAATTCAATTTTGGCAAATGATAAGTACAAAAAAATGGAAAATTTATCTAGTGAGTTTAGGAGAGTGAGCCTCTAACCATGATCCAAATAAGCTAGAAGAAAAGGGTATCTAAACTACCCAGAAACTGGACCTGCGGGCGGTAAAGTCGATGAAATCTCGGATTTCCAGAAGGCTTTTCGGATCGAAAAGGAAGAACCCAAAAGTGCAGAGGAAGCGCGCAATGGTTGACTGGTTCGTGAGCTCAGAAGATTTTTATTCCATCGTGGAAACGCGAAGCGTGACCGCAGCCCTTAAAACGTGTTCGAAATTATTGCGGGGAAGGAGGGCGGGGAAAGTTTCTTGGAATGGAATTTACTGCTATCTTTATTATTTAGGAGCGCGGTATTCACACTTCTTTTTTATTTCTTTCATATTTTTTTAGTTTTAGCTTGTTCGAATAAATTGAAGAACATCAATAAATATAAATTAACGAGATATGTGAGAAATAAAAATCGGTGTGTAGATATCACATCCCTTTATCTACGTGTCGATTTGAACGAGTGGGGGAAAAGTCCGATGGGAATGGATTGGATTCCACTTGTGATTCATTTGTGGTCTGACGTGTCGGATTGGATTCCACTTGGCATTTTTAGTGGGGCCAATAGCTGTACTCGTTCTTTCCCACTAAGATTCCCACCCCAATACTTGACAAAGTAAGTCACCTTTTGGTCCATTTGTGAACACGTTTATAGAGTGTACTATAACCGACGGAATTATCCACGATTGTATGTGAACGATTCGAATGTCCAAATTTTTAAGTCATATTTCAAATTTTATCATTTAAAAGATTAAATAAATGCGAACACATTTCTACATTCGTGAGTGTAATGTTACAAACAAAAAAAATGTGATAGCTTGCGATGTCGCATGTTTTGAAGTATCATCAAGCTATGTTACTTCGTCATCACTCTTCTAAAACTTCTACATAGCGCCATCTAAGTCTAAATGGTTTGTCATCGTTCTGATTAATACCTAGGCGTTTTAAAATTAATAAAAGGTGTCTAGACCTGTTGAGGCGTCCGCTTAGACCCGCTGAAGTTGCGACTCACCTAGAGATAAAATATATAAATTTCATTTTGCATTTTATTTTTTCAGTAAATTGTGAGAGACTTGTTGAATACTTAAATAAACACACATTATATGTTTGTTCCCCATGTTTTCATTGTGTTATGGTACTTCATAATATATATGTCATTTTATTTTGTAGTTTATGATAAAATTATATATATATATATATATATATATATATATATTAAGTATAAACAGACACTATTTACACGAAAATATAATAAATTTACTTAAATCCACCTAATCCACCTAGGCGCCCGCTTAAGCCCCGCCTAGCCTCCTATGTGCTAAGTCCTAACCCACCGCCCGACCATTGCCTAATATCTTTTAGAACCTTGTTTGTCACTATCTCCATCTGCTCAAACCATCTAATTGACTTGTTACCAGTACGAGTGGCACATAGTGTTTGTTTAGAACCTCTTAATTAGCTAAATGGAGGCAAACATGACGCGTCAAATAAAAAAAACAAAAGAAAACTAATGAAAATGACTTAAAAACTTTGAGTTTTAACGATAAGGATAAAATAAAGAGTAAAGTGAATATTACTAGGATTAACTTTTTAGCGTAAAAATATGATTATTCGTTAAAGTAAACAGTAGCAAGAACTTTTCGTTAAAGTTTTAAAAAAAAAAAACAAAGATAAATGTACTCAAGCAGAAAATCAGCGCACTGTGAAGGCGAACGTTGATGAAGGTTGGTGCCAACCAACTTGGTGAAGCTGAAGGAGTTGATCCCACCGCACTGGTGGAATCAAATCAGACATAATGAGGAAGCAATTAACAACGCATTACCTTAACCACGTTTAATATCTGCAATCCAAGCCCTCCATCCTTGACTCTGAAAGCACTCCCATTCCACAAATGAAGTTTGAAACGCATTAAACATACGTGACCTTAAATATATGGTATATACTAGCCTCCATGGACGCACTTACGTACGTGCAAAATGTATTTTTTGAATCACAATATGCTACGCGTAATTTACATGTTTTAAATGTATTTATTAATGTAGATGGAAATGAATAATAAATACATTTAATAAAAGAGGTATTTAACTAATCAAAACAACTGAGTACATATTAATAAAAGCAGTCTTTCAATTTCCACCTACATTATATTGAATTTACATTAAGATTAGAAAATAATATTTAATAAACAACTGATTGTTAGCCCATTATGAGGCTAAGTCTACTCTCTCCCCTTAGTGTAGATAACATCGTTTGTTAAAAAAAAAAGATCATTTGACAACTAATTGAATCGCATTATTATGTGCGTGCAAGAAACTTTTTATAACCAGTACTACACACCTCTTAGGTGTTTAAAAATTGAGAAATAATAATTAATAAACAACTGCGTGCAAAAGACATTTTTTGAATCACAGCATATTACGCGCGACTTATACATTTTAAATGTATTTATATGCGTGAATTGCTTCAATATTTTTTTATTTTGTTTTTTTCTTTTTTTTATCACCAGCGCTACGCACCTCTTAAGATGTTTTGAACACAACATTCATGATTTTTCTTATTTTTATTATATTTTTCTTCCCCTTCACGTGGGCACCGTCAACTTTGTCATTTGTTTATTCTTTTCTCTTCCCTTTTATTTTTTTATTTTTTTCTCTCTTCCCACTTATATTTATATTATTTTGGGCTGGTTTTGGATTTTTTTGGCTGAGGGGCATTTTGGTCCAATTATTTTTGTCGAAGCCAATGACACAAAATCCCACTGTTCACTACCTCTCGCTTTATATATAGATTTGTACCAACCTATCCACTTCCATAATTTGATTGTCATTTGATTCCCATGAGTCACAAATATAAAGAAAATACTTCGGTACTCACCGGAGTGTACCCAATTTACTCACTCTCTTAAGTGGCCTAATAAAAAATAAACATGTGTCATTTTAAAACAACTTGATATGTAGACTATTCCTAGAACAAAACATCCTTAACCACACAACCAAACATCTGACTCCGTCCAATTTTCTCATCCCTCTGCTGCTCTCATCTCCCATGAATGTTCATCTTCACTCAACACAATTTCACCATCGTTCATTTTTCCGAAGAGGGTGTAATTAATTTGAGTTCGACCCATTCTAAACTATGCATCTATTAATTACAATCATTCGTTAAAAGGAAAAACCCTTTAATTCCAATATGAATAAATCGTAACTTGGGAATTTGTGTGTTTATTTGATTTTTGCGACTGCACCTAGGTCAAACCCTACATTGTCTATGTACCCTCATTGAGGGATCAAGTCACTCATAGTTCCTTATGTATTTGTTGGGGTTTGATGCCTTGTGCAGTTTCAGCTTATGCAGGCAACGAGCATTTGATACCTTATGCAGTTTTAGCTCATGCGGGCGAAGACTTTGAGCCATTGGAGCATTTGTTGCCTTATGCAATTTTAGCTCGTGCGGGCGAGGACTTTAAGTCATTGGAGCAAAACGCAGCTTCGTGCCATTTGAGACTTGATACGGCTTCATGCCATTTGAGATTTTCCTTTGGCTTCGTGCCATTTGAGACTTGTTGCGGCTTAATGTCATTTGAATTTGGAGACGCTTCATGCCATTTGTATTTAATGCAACTTTGTACCATTTAGATTTGATGCAGCTTTGTGTCATTTGAAACTTATCGTGGCTTCGTTCTATTTGAAATTTTGACGCGGAATAAATCCACTAATTTGAGATGATAAACCCACCGAGCTTTGTGCTTTGAGATGGTTCACATCACGACATTTGAAGTGACGCTTATCCACCAATTTGATGCCGACATTGTCTTCATAATGTTGACATTGTCTTTATATTTCTTTTCATTTTAATACGCACCGTCCCCTCTCCATTTAATACTTGGCCCAAATTCAAATTCATGCGGTTAGTCATTTATAAAGCCCATATAAATTTGGATGGGGAGTTATAGCTTTGTTTAGATTGCCACGTGAGTGACTTTCCCATTGTCAAGGAAAGAAGACCACATCAACATTTTTAAATTCTACTTTTGATGTAACAAAAGCCTCTTTTGTATTTTTGGCTGGAACTCTTCTTATCTTCCTTTTAAGTTTTAAACTCTTTTTTTTCTTGCACAAAACCCCACTTTAACGGAGAAGAGACAATCATGATTCATGAGTGATGATTTATCAGATGTTCCTGTTAGAGTAATTGAATCACGTTTACAAGGAACAAATGATGCAGACGGCCAGGAAAGATGCACGGCTGCTTGCTTAGTGTAATTATCCCCCTTGCTTCAGACTTTGCCTTCCACTCATTTTGTTCATTGCTTTCACTAGCTCGTCATCTCTCTACCTGCATATTTTGTTAGGCTGAAAACTTATCTCTTTCATTTTTCTTGCATGATTTCTCTTTCCACCATAGGCTTTTCTTCTTGTAGAGTTTGTAATCACTTGGTCAAAGTAAGAACAAAAGTATGGTCCACCTTTCCTTTATGATTATAGGTCTTACACAAATATTTTTCTCAAACATAGCTACACCACCTTTCAAACATAGCTGATGCGCCTTTGACAACACACCTCCGAGCATCGTCCTTGCATAATTGTTGTCTTGCGTTGTAGCAATCACCAAGTCACAAATGGCTGCTGTCTTTTCTTTTTTGTCATGCTCTTGGACTGCGAAGGGGGCGTGCCTTCAACTTCGGCGCCCAACAGCGTCATGGAATTCCCAGACTCCACGAAGCGTGGCCATGTTGCGATGGGAGGTGTGGAAGGACTCGTGGCAGTTAGTTGGGGCTAGGTTGTGGTAGAGATGGAGGACCACAAACGACTTCCTTCTCGGGACGGAGCATGGACGATGAATAGCATCGATCACTTAGATTTGATTGGAACTTCCGGGGTGGTTTAGACCACCCCGAAGAAATTCATGGGACTAACAGCAGGGACAAGGGGCGTCTCGGACTGCTCATTTTTCTTCTCGGTATAGAAGAACTTGCTGGGCAGAGGGAGGAGGACTGCAGCATCGTTGCAACATCCTTTTGGGCTTCCATTTAACGTCGGCGACGATGCTGCAATGTCTCCATTAGTGTTGTTAAAGTGTTAGTGATCGACGACTTGAATTTGTAGCGTGGATGTCGATGGTTGGCAGGATGGACTTGCTAGTCAGAGAAGTCACAACATGGTCGCTGTTGGTGGCAGAGGCGATGGTTTCTTTGCTGTTGTTGGCGGAGAAGACGGCAAATATCTTCAATGGTGGAGAAGAAGAATGAGTATTCCGTGGCTGGAAGAGTTGACAGCAACAAGGATGGAGAAGGTGGCAAATGTCTCCATTGGTGGAGAGGAGGAAAGAGCAAGCCCAATGACAGGTTTGGGGGGTCGATGTGAATTGTGTAAGTTTGTGAGTGTCAAGGAGAACGACTTCTGTTTCTCACTCTAACCCATGTTTCGGTTATGGGTTATCACGTGGAGAAGATTAAGCTATTACTTGACTGAGATTAAGAGTCCTAATATGCAACTATTATTGGTAAACCTTATCACGTTTTGACAAAGAATTCAACAGCAAGTAGGACTATTGTGAAACCCTAATAATATCCGGGTATCAGTTGATAGGCCTGATATCAAGGATGATTGGCTATATATTAGGAGGTCCCTGCACTCACAGTATTTCTTCCATTACGTGCGAACCCTATTCTAGCAGGAACTTTAGGCTGCTGAGTGTAGAAGATCTCTTTTCATCCTTCTGCAGAAATGTCGAGCTCTTCCTCAGGTAAGCACTCACTTCTCTCATGTATGCATGTTCATATATGTATGTGGTTCTATACATGCAGTCAGTTATACTCTTACATGTGGTATCAGAGCAATCACTGTCATGTTTAGAATCCTTACGCAAGACCCTGATTAAACAAGTTGTGATCCTGATAAAAGTCTTCCGCATATTGAAACTGATGTTTTATTGATGATTATCATTGTATGTTAGTCTATTCAACTCGCATCCATGTTTCACTTATACATAGACGCACACATAAACATATATATATATATATATATATATATATATGTATGTTCTGCAAAGTTTATTCCTCAGAAAATGAAGAAGAATCTCCGGTACTTGAAGAACTAAAGGTTACTATCACTAATGACTTTACATACAAACCATTTTGTGAATCATGATCAATTTCGACTCAAAAGTGTTAAAATTGCCTAGCGAATGTGAAACCTTGTATTTCAATTGTGCAAATCCTAATATAATCAGTTTTCGATCTAAAGATGTGACTGGTATTATATGTTTTACGATGCCATTAATTGTTCATATTTTGGACTCTTAATGATGAGCTTATGAGAACAAGTAACATATAATTATGGTTGATGCAGCCATGACTTCTCTCAACTTCTCTAACATTGAAACCCTAACGGGTTCCAATTACAAGAAATGGAAAGAGGACTTGGAGATAGCCCTTGGCATGATGGATTTTGACTTGGCTCTAAGGGAGGACAAGCCTGCTGCACTGACTGTTGAAAGCACAGCAGAACAAAAGTCGAAGTCTGCTCAATGGGAGAAGGCAAACAGGATGGCCCTTATGATTATGAGAAGGTCCATGACAAGCAGCGTGAAAGGTGGCATTCCAAAGAGTGACAGTGCAAAAACATTCTTTGACGCCATAGGGAACAAGTTCAAGGAATCTGAAAAGGCTGAAACTGGAAATTTTCTCACGAAATTGACATCCATGAAGTTCGACGGTGTTGGGAGTGTGAGAGAACACATTCTGAAAATGTCAAACATCGCACAAAAGCTGAAAGAACTGGAGCATCCATTGACAGACCAGTTTTTGGTGCATATGGCACTGAATTCCTTGCCTGCACAGTATGGCCAGCTAAAAGTGTCGTACAACACTCAGAAAGCAACCTGGGATATTGATGACTTAATTTCCATGTGTGCACAGGAAGAGTTGAGGCTGTCAACTGATAAAATTGAGACTGTGAACTTTGTTCACAATGCAAAGGGAAAACATGTGGCTGTTGATCAGTCATCTATGACTGCTGGTAAGCAGAAGAAAAATTCAACCTTTTCTTCTTTTAAAAATACTAACCCTCTTAAACGATCTCAAAAATTTAAAGTCACAACTGAAGCTCTTAAGCCTTGTTATTTCTGCAAAGAAGTCGGCCATCTAAGGAAAGATTGCACTGGTTTTAAAAACTGGCTGGTTAAGAAAGGTAATGAAATAAATGTTTTTGTTTGTTTCGAGTCCAACTTGATTTATGTTCCTCCTTTTAGTTGGTGGTTTGATACTGGCTGTTCAATTCACATTACGAATACCTTGCAGGGCTTCTCAAAACTAAAGGAGAAAAATAATGAGATTTACAATGTTTTCGTTGGGAATGGGAGCAAGGTAGCAGTCGAGTCCATTGGCAGTGTTTCATTAAAGCTTTCTTCTAGTTTCATTTTATTTTTAAGTCCAGTACTCTATGTACCTTCTATGAGAAGGAATTTGATTTCAGCTTCTAAGTTAGTTAAATCAGGTTATACTTTTGTTGGTGACAATGAAAGTGTAAGACTTTTTCATTCAAATAAATTGGATACCTTGCTCGGATATGCTTCTCTTCAAGTTGATATGTGGCAGCTTCAATGTGATTATTTACATGAATGTTTTACTGTCTGTCACATTGGTTCCAAAAGATTATTTCAAAGTGATGATTCTCCCACTCTTTGGCATAAAAGACTCGGTCACATATCCAAAGAAAGACTTGTGATTTTATCAAAACAAAATCTTATACCAAAACTTGATTATGGAAGTTTACCTACTTGTATCGACTGTTTTAAAGGGAAAATGACCAATACCAGAAAATTAGGATCCACAAGAAGTAACCAGCTTTTAGAAATAATACACACCGATGTTTGTGGCCCTTTCCCAAATAAAACCATATGTGGTAACTCATATTTTGTCACCTTCATTGACGATTTTTCAAGATACTGTTATATTTTTCTCATAGCTGAAAAGTCTTCTGTTCTTGACTGTTTTAAAATATATAAACATGAGGTTGAAAAACAACTTGAGAAGAATATTAAAATTGTGAGATCGGATAGGGGTGGTGAGTATTTTGGCAGGTTTACAGAGACTGGACAACACAAGGTAGCCTTTGCACAATATCTTGAAGCATCAGGAATCGTTGCACAATATACTACTCCAGGCACTCCGCATCAAAACGGCGTGGCAGAACGGAAAAATAGGACTCTGAAAGACATGGTTCGATCCATGTTTTCAAGGTCCAAACTTCCAATTTTTCTCTGGGGAGAAGCACTCAAAATAGCCAACTATACACTGAATAGGGTCCCAAGCAAATCTGTCCAAGTTGTACCCTTCGAAGCTTGGACAGGTAGGAAGCCAAGCTTCAACCATTTCCATGTCTGGGGATGTAGGGCTGAGGCTCGGTTTTACAACCCTCAAGAAAGAAAATTAGATCCTCGAACTGTAAGTTGCAGATTCATTGGCTATGCTGAGAAGTCTAAAGGCTTCAAATTCTATTGTTCGGATTCCCACACTAGAATACAAGAAACCAACAATGCAAAGTTCATTGAGGATTTAGAAGAAGATATTGTGCAACATAACAACACATATTTTGAAGAGATTGGAGATGATTGTGATCAAGCTTCAGCAACCATGCATGCACCGTTGCTTGTTGACCAAGGAAGCTTGTATTCCCTTCCAGTTGTTCTTCCAAATGCTCAATCACAAGATACCACGTTCATTCCAGAACCTGCCCAGCCACCGGTGGACAATTATGATACTGAACAACCAGTGCCTGAGCAACAAATTCCTGACCCCGATGTTGATCAGTCTCTACATCAAGTGCAGCTGCCCTTAAGACAGTCTAATAGGCAAAGAAAGCCTGTGATTCTCCCAGATTTTGTCTATTTACAAGAGACTGAATACAACATTGGCGATGAAGACGATCCCATCACATTTCATCAAGCTGTCAACAGCTCAAAAGCAGAATTATGGCAGGATGCAATGGCTGAAGAACTTGCAGCTATGGAAAAGAATAAAGTTTGGACGTTGGTGCCACTTCCATGCAATGCCAAACCCATTGGGTGCAAGTGGGTTTTCAAAACCAAAAGAAATGCAGTGGGAAAGGTTGAACGACATAAAGCTAGGCTCGTAGCTAAGGGTTTTACACAAAGAGAAGGCATTGACTATAATGAAACCTTCTCTCCAGTTTCATCCAAAGACTCTCTAAGGGTGATTATGGCCTTAACTGCTCATTTCAACCTGGAATTACATCAAATGGATGTAAAGTCCGCATTTCTTAATGGAGATTTGTTCGAAGAAATAGTAATGGTTCAACCACCAGGTTTTGTGGAGGAAGGGAAGGAGTCCATGGTCTGCAGGCTCAACAAATCTATCTATGGCTTAAAACAATCATCCAGGCAATGGTACATTAAGTTTGATCAAGTTGTTGCTGCTTTTGGTTTTGAAGAAAACAAAATTAATGACTGTATATACCTCAAGGTCAGTGGCTCGAAATTTATATTCTTGGTACTATATGTTGACGATATTCTATTAGCTAGCTCCGATTCAAATCTTCTACACACAACCAAAGGCATGTTGACTGAGAGTTTTGATATGAAAGATCTTGGTGAGGCACATTTTGTTCTTGGTATTGAAATAGAGAGAGATAGATCCAAGAGAATGCTAAGATTATCACAGAAGACTTATATTGACAGAATCTTGAAAAGATTTAATATGGAGAAATGCGCAGGTGGCGAGCTTCCAATTGCAAAAGGGGATAAGCTAAGCACTGATCAATGTCCCAAAAATGATCTTGAAAAGAATGAGATGAAGGATAAGCCTTATGCTTCACTTGTTGGCAGCATCATGTATGCCCAAGTTTGCACTAGGCCTGATCTGGGATTTGCAGTCAGTGTCCTAGGGCGTTTTCAATCTAACCCTGGGAATACAAGTGGGTATGTTTTTCTTCTTGCTGATGGTGCCATCTCGTGGAAAAGTTCCAAGCAAAAGGTGATTGCTTCCTCAACTATGGAGGCAGAGTTTATTGGTTGCTATACTGCCACCAAACAAGCAATCTGGTTGAGGAACTTTATTATGGGACTAAAGGTTGTGGACTCGATAGAAAGACCTATCACTATTTTTTGTGACAACAAGGCTGCAGTCTTATTTTCCAGAAATAACAAGAGATCCATTGCTTGCAGACTAATGGATATTAAGTACTTGCGTGTAAGAGATGAAGTCAGAAAAGGGCTGATCAACATAGTTCATATAGGAACTAATGCCATGATAGCTGATCCAATGACTAAAGGCTTACCAGTGGGAGTGTTCAAGAAACATGTTCACAACATGGGTATGCGAGAAGATTTTGATTCTGTTGATGAGTGGGAGCAATATATTCCACTTGGTTCTGTTAATAAGTGGAAGTAGTAACTCACTCATTGTTTCGTTATGTTTCTTGCTAATTGGATGTTTTCATGATGTTTTATGCTCATAACTATCTTATTGAAATTATATGAGCCATGTGTTAGCACGCGGCTCGGTTCAGGAGTTGAATTTTGTTTATCAACCTGAAGTATTTTGAATTTTGTCAAACAACACAGTGCTCATAGTTTGAATGCTTGTGACGATAAAACGCACATGTAGAAGGAATTACATACTGTGTTTATGGTTCAGTATTTAAAGCTATGAGTGACAGGTTGTTAAAGGTAAACTTGCAGTTACTATGGACTAGTGATCACCTTAATCTCGATCAAAGTAATGTCGTTCTTCTTGGACACTCAAGTGGGAGAATGTAAGTTTGTGAGTGTCAAGGAGAACGACTTCTGTTTCTCACTCTAACCTATGTTTCGATTATGGGTTATCACGTGGAGAAGATTAAGCTATTACTTGGCTGAGATTAAGAGTCCTAATATGCAACTATTATTGGTAAACCTTATCACGTTTTGACAAAGAATTCAACATCAAGTAGGACTATTGTGAAACCCTAATAATATCCGGGTATCAGTTGATAGGCCTGATATCAAGGATGATTAGCTATATATTAGGAGGTCCCTGCACTCACAGTATTCCTTCCATTACGTGCGAACCCTATTCTAGCAAGAACTTTAGGCTGCTGAGTGTAGAAGATCTCTTTTCATCCTTCTGCAGAAATGTCGAGCTCTTCCTCAGGTAAGCACTCACTTCTCTCATGTATGCATGTTCATATATGTATGTGGTTCTATACATGCAGTCAGTTATACTCTTACAAATTGGTGGTGCATGTTTCCACCACCATCTTCTTTGCTTAGGTCAAACAAGAAGAAGAGGAAACCTCCTCTTTTTTTTTTTTTTTTTTTTTTGCAAAAGACGACAGGAACTTCCCAATAAAAATCAAGTATCCATTATAAAAATGTAATACCTTTTTAAGCTTTCTTCTCTTTCTTTGGCTTCTTGTTGATGTTCATTTTCTCTTTCTTTTGCTGCTTGTCTTCTTTTTTTGTCGATTTCTTCTCCGTGTGCTTCTCAATTTCTGCAGCGTTTTCTGGTTACTCTTCCCCCTTCCACTCTCCCTGTGCCTTCCCCCTTTTATAGACACAAGGAGTAGTTTCATTAACTTCTTCTATTTTTTGTAACATGTTCTACTTTCCCGGGGTGTGGGGAAGTTGAGGAAGGCTATCACTTTACTGCGTTGAGAACGTGAGAGCTTAGGAGAGTTCTGGATAGACAAGAACTCTATTTTTGTGGTTTGTGGACTGTTTCTGTCCTTTTATATATATATATATATATATATATATATATATATATATATATATATCAACCTTATTTCTAGTCGGTCCACGTTTTGGACTGCTATTTTTTTTTTAATAAAGTGTCCCCATTTTTATAAAACTTGCTAATATATTTTCTCTATGAAAATATATGGCTCAACACCTCCAATCGTCGACTTCATCTCCGCTCCTTTCTCCA